GGTCATACGTCCCCAAAAAAATCCAAAAATTTCCGTTTTGAAAAAGATGATATTTAGCATTTTATTCCGCTAATAAAGGACACGCAATATGTATTATATGCGTATATCAAGTCGAATATTAGGTATACATTCTTGTTTTTTTCTCAAAATGTCCAATTTTTTTTGTATTTGAATCGTGCGTAAAGAAATAGTACATAATAACACGTGTGACAGCATAGACGACCTTCGATCTGATGAGTGTTCCGACGATCCTCCGCGGCGGTTTCGACGGGCGCCACTTCGATCGGCCGCCAAATAATGTGTGTGTTATCTGATCGGACGAGGGTGAGAGAAAAATAAAACGCGTCAACGGGCCGGTTATTGATTACGATTTTATATATTGTATAGATACTATCGTATATATATTCGGCCGATACACACCCACGCACGCCACCCTTACCAGTGCTCAAACATTTTTATATCCCATTAAAAAATATGTCTTGGGTGATCGAAAAACATTTTACGATAATTCATTAAATCCCTTCTTATATATATATAGTGTCTGACTGTATACGAAGAAGATAATATTCTAAAAAAAAATCGTTTACAATTCTGTAAAAGAACGATGAATAGAATATATTATCACTCTTCCTTATAAAATGTAAATAATAATAAATATTCGGAAGATATTACGATTCTTCGGTGTCTCGTATGTTGTGTGCGTGTTAAACGAAGTGGAGCCGAGAAAAATATGTGAATTTCAGTTTCAATAAGAAATAAAACATCCATTAAAATTCCATCAAGTTTTGAGTATAAACGTTTACCGTTCTTTATTCGAATCGCGGCTGTCGTCACCAAAGTAATTGTTGAAATCGTTTTTCGCGTTATTTCTATGTTTTTGTCATCATGATATGAAAACCGTTATTTAGATTTTGTTTTCTTTAGAGAGCACTTGTACACAATAATTATACCTAACAATTATTTACAAAAGACAGAAAAAACTTTAAAAAATGAATATGTCATTTATTTAAAAAAAAAAAAAAAAAAAAAAACATAACATTAAAATAACGATAACAGACAGTGCGTTGACTATTGTATCGTGTGATTTAAAAAGGGTGAGACCAACATTTATACTCGTCCAGCACTCATCGATACCTTATTTTTATTTTGTTAGTTCGACGTTGGCTAGACTGGTTGCGTGCACCATAATGTAACTTGATTTTTTCGCAGCTTTTATAAATTCAACAAGTATGTACATAATTATAACGATGAGGTTTTCTTATACGCGCTGAGTGGTGTTTATGTCACGATAACAATAATAACAACGAAATATTGTTGACGTGACATTTGAAATCCGAAAATCTTTTTGCTTGGAATTAGTTATAACATGCGATTTATTTTTATAATCATTTATACGTTATATAGTGTACATGCATAAGAACACACGCGCACAAAAACCCCCATTGATTTTGTTTACCGACAGTACCACTTCCTCTATCCTTCACTATTTCTACCATCGTTCACTCACGTCGCTATACGAGTTCGAAACTACTTAAGAATTTTCGGTAGTACAACGCAGACGATGTTTTATTCATATCCTATCTACATTATCGAGTATTATTATTATTTATTATTATTACCTTTATAAAAAAAAAAGCAATGGCAACGTGGATTTTGGAAATTTAAACCATTTGGGAATACGTTTTCTTAGACGCGGTTTCAGTGATCCTCTGACTTTTAAGTTTCGAAGTAAGGGTCTTTGGCGACGTAATTCCGAATTATGTTTGTGTGGGAATAGGTCTTACCGATATTATTTTTGTGATTCAATAACATTTAACGACTTCTCATTTTATGAGTCAAGAAACTATGTAATAAAATCACTACTATAAACTGCGAGCCCGCGCGCGCATGTTTGTGTATTCTATAAATAATATTCTGGAGTCGATATATGTTACCTTGTCGAAATCGTACATGAAATCAATTTGAAACTGTCTAGAGGTTTTCAATAATTACCAACTAGAATTAAGTTAGAGTGAACAGCTGGTTAATACTATATACCTTTAATGTGTAGTATTAATCACCAATTTAACACAAGGGTTAATTGGCTTAGGATAAAAACAATTTAGAATTAATGATAATGTTTTAAGGCCCCTGCAAACGTGTCATTTTTAAGGAGTTGTGTTTAGGCAATTATATTGTTTCTTGCAGTCACTGCTCGTCTTTGTGTGTGTAGTAAATGATTATTAGTGTGTGTACACTCCTCAACCGTCACCCGCTACCCGCATCAATGCACAATTATTCATTGTTTACTTCTTATCTGGTTTTTCGACGGCTGGTCATTAAAACGAAATGTAATTACGTAAATAATATTATGAAAATAATTAGGTATATACGACTATACGAGTATAATATTATAATATAGCATTTATGTATATAAAATAAATGTGGGATGTGTATAAATATTAAACTGTACATAAAATACAATTTATTTTCCCTATATTGTTGAATTTAGTAATTATTATACAATAATATACTGAATACCGTATATCTATTTACTATTACTTACCTAGTACTTATATAAGTAATAATGCAAAAAATTACCAAAAAAGAAATTGACGACAAACAGTTATAGTAGTTTAATTGTTTTATTTTTTACAATTTTACAATTTCACATAACAAAACATGTTAATTGCCGGGAGAAAATTTTGGATCAATTATTTCAGGTAATAAATGATTCAAGTAAAACTCTGCTAATTGTGTTTCCATTTTTTCATTCCAAAATTCATCATCACGATGAATTTTATCCACAGACATACCTAATGTATGATTTTAAAATATTAACAAATCTTATAGGTACTAATAAATTTAGAATAATATTATTTACCTTTAGGTGTCTAAATTACAAAATAACATACATTTCTTTTAGTTATATGTAATTGTCCCTGAACTTGAAAATAGTATTGATGATTTTTTCAGGGGGGATCAAGGTAAAAATATAACACATTTAACAATTAACAAAAATATGCAAATTGGTAAGGTAATAAATATTTGCAGCAATTTTTAAATGATTGGGTATATTTGAGGATCACACTGAAAGTACAGGTCTGTAACAGTTTTTTTTGTTTGGATAATTTCTGACTGGTGCTTAAAACTATTTTGCCATAGTAATTGTTATTTATAATTTGTTTTATCATAATTATTTTATCAAAATCATTTATTTATGTTTATTCAAAGATAATATTTTTAATGGAGATGATAGTTACAACCCCTTAACCCCTCCCTTACGTGTGCCAATGCCGTGTACAGCATAACTAGTCAAAATAATTTTTTTTTTTGGCTGAGTCAAAATACTTGAAAATGTAATACAAAGTTCCTCGTAAGTTATTCTTATAGTGATTAAAAAATTATAAGAATAAATAGGCACGATTTTTTTTTTATTTAACATTCTATAATATATAATAGTAATCCATATGGCACCTAATGTACAGCAGAGCGGTACTCACTTTTTTTTAAATAATAACAATATAATATTATTATAGTACCTATAACATATTCTAGAGTCTAAACTGACAAACCATCTCCCCTCAGAATCGTTTTTCGTATACAATTATACTATATCATGAACATAAACATATACATAAACATTTATACATTTTTTGAAAATTTAATTAAAGTGTCTAAAACTCTAAAGTGAAGGATAAACTATTATACTAAGAATATATTCACTTACACCGTATCATGACAAACTGCGTCAGCAGAACTAATTGAAGGCAATATTTGGCGTGGAGAAGGATCTAAGTTAGTAATAACCTATAAATAAAATTATAATAAGTCATAAAATACAAGATTCTAAATACCTAACTAATGAATCAAATCAACTTACCTTTTTAGGTACATTTTCTTTTCTCAGCGATGATATATTTCCTTTATTTTTTTTTCTCTTACTCAAATAAGGCCTGTACTTATTACCAAGATACATTTTCCTATTCATTTTTTTATTGAATAGTGAAATTCACAAAAACAAAGGAAGTTAAGTTACGACAGTCGACAATAATTAAGTACACTCCAAACACCGATGTCATACCACGATGGAATAATGTAAAACAACTCTTGTAGTCTTGTTCATTGATAAAATGATTATGCCCATAATAATATTACAATTTGTAATCTAAACATTGTAATCATCAATATCTAATTTGTATAATAGTTTTGTCAATAATAGGTATTTATAGTCAAACGTAGAAATATTGCGATAATGCAAAGATTATTGCAGGGGCCGCCGCCGCGCCGGTCGTTATATAATTATATTACGACGATTCCGAGAATCACACGCACGCGCATGCACATGTCATTGATAGTCTTTACATCAAAATATTCAAAACCAATTTAAGAACGTAAAATAGCTGTATGACTGACAAAAATTAACATACTTCTAGTGGTTCGAATTGAAAAATGTAAAGATGTTTGAATTGGTAAACAAGTTTACTTTGCATCGGTCGGAGCACTTTTTCAATTTTAGCAAATGTTTGGCGAAAATAAATATTTTACATTTTATAAATTTATAAATTTTTAACACTGAATATATTGAAAAATATTAAAAATATTAAATATATGCTCCGACCGATGCAAAGTAGACTTGTTTACGAATTTAAACATCCTTACACTTTTTAAATCGAACTACTAGAAGTATGTTAATTTTTGTCAGTCGCTAAGGTCGTTTTGATGAAAAATTCATAGGGTTTGCAGGGGCCTTAAATCAGGATTTTGCGTACCGCGTGAACCCTTTTAATCGAAACGAATAATACTTTGTGCGTAACATAAGGTGAGACACTGTATATATAATATTATTATTTTGACCACCCGCTTATTCCTCATCATATACTCACTTTTCCGCAAATCTCAAAGTGTAAATAATATAATATACTTCATCGATTTAACTATTGTACTTAAATAGATTATAATATTTAAATATGTATATCATTCTAATTTATTTATGTTTATACCTATATTTCGTTTTTTAGGGTGATGATAGTCCATCAGATTCATCGGAAGTATGGAACCTGCGTGAAGTTTCGATGATCCATCAGAAAGTGTTGGTGATCGCTGAGGTGGCGTGGGACGCCCGCCAAGTCCATCGTCCTGCCTACTTGGTCACGTGGGAAATCGATGGTGGCGGCCTGAAGGGCAACTTGTTCACAGACACCACGTGCGTCACACTGTCCCTGTGGCCGGATACCGCATATCTTATACAGGTCAGTAAATCATCGAGCACAATCGTGCGTTAATTACGATCGCCTTGCTAAGATAATAACAATAATAAATGATATTATACAGTGTTGACACTTTGAGGCAAAAAGCTAATCTGTACGCTTGAGTACCGACTGTCGTGTCGTTATGCCCGTTGTCTTCATATAATATATACGAAATGTATACAAATTAACAATATAAATATATTAATGTACGTTTTAGTTTAAAATATCTAAGTACAAAAGACATATAAGGCGTAGGACGTTGGACTGCTAAGAAAAACTTGACAATGATCATAATATAGTATATAAATACATTTTTTTGTTTTAAAACCTAACAATTTTTATATTTACTTCCATTTACCGTAATCGATTTTACGGTTCTTTTTGTTTAATATACATATATTATTTTAAAACGTATTTTATATTAGCATTGTAAATATAAACGAAATTGTCTTTATACCTACGTTAAAATAGCTACGCGTATAATAGGTGTTCCGAACTGTATATAAATATTCACGCGAATCGCGGTGTTGGAATATATGTATAAAGCTATAAAAATAAGTAGAATTCTTGAAAGTGAATTTAAAATTACGTTTAAATTCAGTTTAAATTAACCGAGTTTCTGAACGACGACTGAATATCAAAATAAGTTTACTGCAGAGCTTACGTTTCAAAAATATAATGTCACAGCTACTAGCTACTACACGATCAAAACTCCACAACATCGTTTCTCATTTTTTTACACGTTAACCGCCATGAGATCTAATAGGAGATCTCACTTAATTTTGTCAAAACCGTCAAGGGTTTTTTCATAGGTTTACTTAAACATTTTTCAGCAAAAATATTTTCTAATTTCTTTCAAAATTTTTAACACCAATTAAAATATCATTTTAAAAGAAAGTTTAACAGTTTCAAGTCAATTAAAGGTAAGATCTCGGAATAGATCATATGGCTGTAGGATGTCACTATCTGAAAAAAATATTGATTTGGCTATTACCACGAGATCCCTTATTAAATCTCATATCAAAAAGTACTTTTTATGAGACCTTACATTGAATCTCAACTAATTTTTGTTTTTACCATAAAGAAAAAAAATATATAAACATGTATTGTTCAAGTCCTAATGCAACATCTTGAGCGTTTTACGACTTTCTGCGTGATTTAAAAAAATAAATATTCAATAACTTTATATTATAATTTCTAACGCTGATTTTATGAACTTAGACCAGTGTATTGTGTTGTAAAATATAAATGAAGGATCGCTAACGCTTATCACTCGCATTGCTTTATCGTGTGGTGGAGGGTTGGGGAAGCGGTGATTACATTGACGTTATTTTACACACAGACGCACACAATACATGCCCCATAAAAGCCGGAAGTGGAGGTTTACCAGATGCCTTGTGGTGCAGTGGGTGTTTAAGGATTATGAATAGACTAGCCCCCAAATGTACCACATTGAAAATGCACGTCATTACCGCTATTTAACGACTATACACGCTACTATGACAGCGAAAAGAGTGCACTACATTACATACTGCGTTCATTCCGGAGGCTATTGTCAGCAATGTAACTAGATAAAAATATATTTGCCGGAAAGTGTTAATCGATGATGGCGAGCGGAGGCCACGTGACCGGATGAAACAGGATATCGACTACCCGGCACTCTGGTCATGAATGGTTCATCACTCACAAGCCATACTACGAATAGTAATAATAATAAATCGTCCAAGAGTTCCGTTTCTTGTGATGGTGCGTATATTATACAAGTGGATACGGGTACCTATGAAAGTATTTATAATATGATATAAACTATAATATATTATAATACATTGACGGGAAAATAAATGAAAGCTAAAGAGGAGATGTGAAAAAAAAATCACACAAAAATAGTTAAGAGAACAATTTATTTACGTCTTGTTTATATATATATATATATATATATATAATTATTTCTGTTGGTAGCTGATAAGAATGAAAACCGTATATTACATTCTATATATTTACTGTATAATAATAATAATATGATATAGGATACAATGTACGATAATATTATGTGCAGTACGTATATTGCCGCGTATACGAAACATTGTATTATATTATGACCCGCATATAAAAAGCAATTGCCAGTGATAACGCGCCCAAACACGCTCTATATTATTATTATTGTGAACTATCGTGTATACTTATATATAATATAATACGTTATAATACGTTAAAACGCGTATGTAGTAGTGCAGCCTCGGGTTCGCGAATTCGACTTTAAATCCTATTATTATTATACATATATAGGACATCGCATTTCGATTTGTGACCGAAAAAAATACCACTTAATGGTTTCCGGCGGCGTGTTCCGACCGATTTTTGACCGAACTGCTGCAGGACATGACAATTTTCATTCAACGCCAGCGGGATAATATTGAATTATTACAGAGCCGTCACAACATTGTTGCGTATATGCGTATCATATTTTATAGAATATCAACGGTACCTATAATCATAATATGTGGTATGTAAATATATATATATATAATATATATATATATACAATAGAATAATACTGAATGTGTTATTATTGAAAAAAATAATAATTTTTAAATACACTATATTATTATATTGCACGTGTACTGCACCCTTTTATGCCTTATTATATTATAATATTATAATATATTAAATGGATTCATAGGTACGTCGCATAAACTTGATTTATTATTCAAAGTCAAAGAACTCAGGTGAAATATTCTCGTTATAGATTTGCGTGTTATGTGGCTGAATATCGTTTGATCCCACAAAAAAAAAAAAAAAAAAATGATGTACACGAAGTTTACCCTTTAATCTCATTAAAAGATTTTGCATATTATACCAAGATTTGACAAAAAAGTTTACAAGTCCTTCAATGTTTGGACAAAAACTGTGAAGAATTTATTGTGAATAGTTTTCAATATTTTTCTCTACCAATATTAAAGGACTGGGTATAAATTTACTCGTCATGATGGAATTGACTTGTGAATTCTGGTAATAGATTTATAAACTTGTTGGTTGTAGAAAATATTTTGAGGCCAGTTTACATAATGGTTTTATATCTAAAGATTAAACGGTAGAGTTGGCTCCAAAATGTTTAAAAATCTTCAATGTATTTTATAATATGCATTTGAAAATTTAAAAAATTAATTTACACATTTTTGCATAGCTTATTCTCTGACATTTAGTAACGATCGATAAATATGTTTATACAACACGTATCATTTTTTAATTTTGAAAGTTAGATAAGTCAAACTTTATTAATGAGTAACAATTTAATATCGGTAGGTACTAAACTTCGTCCTTTATATGTACTTATATGTATTTAAAGATTATTATACTTTATATGTAATCGATTGTATATCCACGTTCTACAGTTATAAGTTATAACAATATTATTGAAGTCTTTCGTGTGGGTTGTACAATAGGAGCGATTTGTCATTTTCAAAGACAACTAGACGACGAAATGAAACAAAAGGTGATAATGACGCATCAGATAATGTGAAGATATGGAGATAACATTGTCATGACGTGAAGACGTGTATAATTATTATGAGTGCCTCGTCGAAACATTACATTAATTATATACTCGTAATAAGTACATAATAATATTATTATTGTTGTATTAAAGAGTTACGTTATTAATTGTCGGTAACAAAATGCATTTTAATGCGAATTCCCGCCTCCATGGACATATATAATATTACATTTCAAAAGATGGATGACCCACCGGCGTGTGATGTATTTTTTTGATAGCTTTAAACGCGAAGCTTCTTCACTCTAGTCGTCAAAGCAATCTAGTGGGTAATAATAATAATTAAAATTTTTATTTTAATATTAACGTTTCCTCAGCGTATTAACCATACCATATATTTACACATATAATAATACATCGGAACGCATATAACATGTATACTATATAATATGCATTGTACGCTACTATTACTCCTCCTTCACTTCGACGTGTGATATTTTAAAAACATGTTCTTTGGTTTTAGTTCTCGTCATGCACGTAAACATATACCCACAACTGTTATATACATGTATATGTATTGTACATACGGTTGTCTTAAAAATATTTTTATAATAATATATTATATACATGGCAGGCAGAACGGCACTTTGACGATCTGCTCTTTTTCTTCCGTTTCCGATTGTAATCCACTGACTATAAGGAGGCTGACGGCGTATCCAGGCTGCAATAGATCATGTCGGCTAGTGCAGCTACAATAATTAAACGCTATTATTAAATTGTAGATCTCCGAATGCGGTAAATCAGTTGGTTAATAATGGGTTGGCCGATTGACGGAAAATCATCGACTGCACGACGAGTGCAACGTGTGTGCGCTCCGTAGGTGGTATAGCTCTATGTCCGTATAATCTACTGACGATTATACAGACTTTAGACTGATATGGATAAATTATTGGAAAAATTAATTTATAAAAAAAAATCACTCATACAATATGTGTGCAATGTATATAATATAATATTACATGATGTCTTATATAGCTTGGATATTGATGGGTATAATATATGATGTATCGCTGCCTATATAACTATACCGTAGTTTTTCTAATAAATAACCGTGTTTGATTTTGGAAATTTTTCAAATAGCTAAGTCTAAAATAGGATTTTATGCATAATTATATGTACAAGTCAAAAATAGCTGGACAAAGAATATACATAAAAAGCGTAAGACTACGCATATTATTTATTTTATAAAAACAAATTTAAAGTACTTGGAATACGGTATATAATTGTTAAAGATGTTGGAACAAATTTTATTGAATTGTTGGTTATTTGTTAAATATACAACTCTTTTATGTATCATTCAACTAGAAACATGACATTATTTTGTTCATTTTTGCTCAATTATACATAGGTACATGTATAAAAAAAATAAAACCGTAATTATAGAATCTATACATAGGTATAAGCATTAAGAAAAATATTATTCAATCAGATCATGTTATAATCTTGAAGT